AATGAACATTTGCACGATATTCTAATTTTTCGAGTTTCACCTGTAAATGAAGGTGAAGGATTTTTTGAAGTGAAGTTCATGAATACATCCATGGAAGTGAGTATGTAGGTTTCATTATGAATGATAAAGTTAAACTGGAGAGCACAAAGGAAGAATTGTTGTCATCTAGATTTGCTAAACATTCCATTTATTCTTATGCATGCTTTACTTCAATCATATACCATTCTTAACCACCTTCAGCAACCAACTTTCAACTTCATATTATGTAAAATATTCCATAATCCAAGATTCTTATAGGAAATGGTTCAGCAGTAAGCAGAATGTAGCACAAGGATATGTGATGTCCTCTTGGTTATTTAAGGTGTGTGCGTGCATGTGCGCACATACACACACACACACACACAGAGGCTGTTGACCAGATCCAGCAAGGCTGATCCTTTGGGATGCTGAAACCTAGCAGGATTCAGGACAATGACCAGGGGGTATACTGTGATTAAGGAGAAACATATTTTTCAAATGTAAAAAGAAAGTCAAATGAGAAATGCCATCTGACTTGCTGTACAAGTCATCATACGAATATTGATACTGGTTGTAAGCTTGTATCCTGTGGGCAGGAGTCAGTGACTGAGTCTTTTAAACTCTAAACCCAGCTCAGTAGGCTGTGCACACATGCTCAGTAAATGTCTTCATACAGTGCTGAGGAGCCACAATGAATAATAAAGGCATTTCCTGCATCTTGGATGGATGGCCTTTCTTACAGTTCATTAATAAGACTCATCTGCAGATTCCTTTCAGTTTATTGCACACACAGAAAAAGATCAGTGAACTGTGGATAGCTACTCTTTCCTAAACTGTCTACTTAAATCTCAGTGTTCTCAGGAATTCATTTCCTTTGCAAAATGCCATGTTGTACATGATTAATGCTATCATGTTTGTATGTGTTTTTGTTCTGTTAATTAGTCAAGTATAATATTGTTTTTAAACAGTCATTTAAAATATTCTCCCTCTTGAGTCTGAAAAGAGCAGAGGACTCTAAAACATGGTTTGTTATTGTTTCTGTAACACGGGCCATTGTCTGGAATATTCTGTATAGTTCTTGAGAATACTTTGCTTATAATGATAATTATAGGGCTTGATGCTTCCTGAGAATGTTATCCAAATGGTGGGTGCTATATTAAGTCCCTGGTATGTCTTTCGATACGCCTTCATTTTGACAGTGTCCCTGTTACGTCTTAAGTACAGCTGCTTTAACAAGTTTCAGAGATGAGTTGTTTGATTCCACTCTATTTAAGAAAACACATGCCAGTTCTGAGGCAGAGGCAGTATCTTTTTTTTTTTTTTAATAAAATGTTTTTAAAGTATAGTATGTATGTCAGCTGTGGCCTTGGTGTTGTTCTGATAGGTATGTTACCATCAAATGGGTTGTTTTGCTCTTTGTTTGTGAAATGCTGTGTGCAGGTAAAGGAGCAGAAAAATGCAGAAAACATTTTAATGTGTAGGATTTATGTTTGAAAGGACTGATTCTTACCCCTGATATCCTACCTAAAGTCATTTCTTTTCCCTCATATGATGTACGTGATGGAATAACACCACACTTAGACAGCCTTGCCCAGAAATGATTTCAGTGTGGATAAAAATAAGTACATGTTCTGATTCACATTAAAAACTAACTGCAGTTGCTTCCACTTAGGGCCATTTTCCATGGAATGTAATAGTGAGTCCCAGGTTTATCTGAAAATACTTTGCCAAAATGGTTAGATCTCTGCTGGAGGAAGAAAGAGAAAGCTGAGATCTTGGTACTAATTCCAGCAGTCTTTGCTGAGCATCTTCTGGATTCAATTTTCCCCCTTTTAAAAAAAAGATACTATTAATGTTACTGTACTTCCTTGCCCATATTAGAAGAGTCAATTCTGGAAAATAAGTTTGTTGTATTTGCACGATGTTCAAAGGTTGTACTTTGAATGGAAATCAGGAATACTTTGGCGTGTGTGTGCGAGTGTGTGTGTTTGGATGGAGAAAAGGTAGTCTGGAAAGTATGCAGCTCTATTCTTAGTCTATATTGTGGATATATCATTTCAGAAGTAGTAGCGTCATTAGAGATTTTTCCGACGTGGTTGTGTTCTAGTATTTGAACTACTCCTCTTAGTCTTTCCTTCAGCACATTTTAGCATTAGTGCTATAGTATACGCTACATGCAGCTAGACTTAATTTTATCACTCTTTCAGATGAAGACATATGCTAGGATGCTCTGCTATATTTGCCAGATAATTCAATATGGTCTAAATACAAATTCCTTCAAGCGGTACAGCTGTTCACTCATTAAATTATACAGTGATAGAAGGATATCTGTATTTTAGGACTTTTAGCAACAAACTCAGGAACCTGGGAAAAAAGAGATGATCAAGTGCACTTTTAGCATTTTAAATTCTAATCACAGTTATGTTTGAAATCTCATTAAAGGGTCTGCACAACTGCTTGGGTATAAAATCGGCACCTTTTCAAGAACTCAGGTTTGGCTGTGCTTGGAGAAACCTTAAGAAGGAGACCCGATTTCCAAGGCAGCAGGGTTAGAAAGTCGCTTCTTACCTTTCCCCATTGTGAAGGGTTAAAGCAAATCCTCTAATATGTCTGCTCAGAAAGAAGAGTCACTGGAATTTACTCAGGAGCAAACAACATAGCCAATAAACTCAAATTGCCTTGAATATAATGCTTTGGTTATTTTAGCTTGGTAGGGATTTTCAGTTTAGTATGCTGTAGTCAAGAGGCAAGAGCCTGCCTGCCAGATTCAAGATATTCTTTTTAAAAATGTATTCTACCCCCTTTGGGTTTCAAATCCATGCTGCATATTTGGAGTGCCAATATAATGTCTTTTCCCCTTTCTCTCTCTCTCTGTCCGGTTTAGCAAAGCTTCTCAGTATTTCCACCCAGAAAAATTGGAGACTCGTTATCTGACAGAAGATGAATATCGGGAACAAGGAGAAACAGAGACTGTGAAGGCCCTGGAGGAGCTGCGCATATTCTGTAGGAATCCCACTTTCCCCTCCTGGGTAGCTGTGGTCAAACTGCAATCCCCACAAAAGTAGGAGCATTTGTTTTTGTTATGACATTCTTTTCCATATCTTAAAGCTTCATTCAGGGTTTTAAAAAGCAAAAGCTTATTTTCCATTGGGGGCTGCACTTCCACGGGAGTCATCATCTCTGAAGGCTACATTTTATGCCTTGGTGGATGAGATTAAAGCAAGATGGGGTTGGGCCACTGTTTTTCTTCCTGACATCCCTCCCTTTTTTTCACCACATTTTCTTTCTTATATAAAAGCTGCAAAGGGTGGCTGTTAACAAGTCTTTCAAGTGGCTTGATGAGGTAGACAGCGTAATGATTAAGAGAATGAGTTGTGAGCCCAGTTCAGATTTTTCTTAGTTATGAATTCACTCAGTGGCCTGGTGAAAGCCTATTACTTTCTCAGCTTTAGTTCTGTTAGCAGAAGGATGCTAAAGCTTACCTTTTTTTTTTTAAACAGAATTGTGGCAATATAGGAAAGAAAAGCTCTAGTAGGGCAAGTGACCACTATTAAAGGACTAGCAATTGCTGCTGGTTGTCCACATTTGATTGGCCTCTCAACTAGACCCAGCATTGCTATGAGTGTTGTTGACATCGAGAATGCTATCAATTTGGGGGAGACTCTCTCTTATTGTTCTTTAAGTGTTTGGTATATTGCTTTCTTCTGCTTGGTAATCCCTCCTCCTCTTCCTCCTTTTTCCAGGTTTGCAAATTTTGTTCTAGGGTTTCCTCATGTATCTGCTGACGAAATGACAGCCCACGAGGCACAGTACGGCATCGGAGGAACCCTCCTAGAACAACAGCTTTTCCACCCAGAGACCGAGGCAGACCCAGAGCCCCAAACTGCTTCCCCTGAGGTGGAGGAGAGGAACAAAGAGGAGGGACTGAGGCTATTACAACCAAATGTCCTGCACTTCCACAGTAGAGAGTTCCTTTGAGCCACTGCTCAGGCCAGCAAAAAACATGTAACAACATCTGCTCTTTAAACTGTAGAGGGCAGTCAAGACTTTTTGAAGGACTTAACATGACTTCATTGGCTTCCAGGAAGCAGTTCAGTTTGCAAACCCATCATGACTCAGGTTATGTAAGGAGAGAATCCAGGCACATCTAAAAGATACTGGATTTAGCCAACGGCTCTACTTAGAGCAACAATTTGCTTACAGTTTGAAGAGGCGGTTTTTGGAGGACAGGGGCAAGGAATTCCCTTCAGTTGCTCTGCCAATTTACAAGGTTCACTTTACAGCAGTGTCTTTTATTTGCCTGATCATCAGTTTCTGAGTTTGCGCATTAAACCATGGTGTGCTTAACTCTCATTTGCTGAGTTCATGCAACATATTAAGCCATAATCTTTGGTTTGAAAACCATAATGGCTGCATGCTAAACCCAACCCAAACCAACCACATTGCTTGAGACAATCCAGTATAGACAACTGGTGGTGTGAGAATGAGCTGAGAAGTTAAAGTCACTTGTGATTAACCACTTTACGTTAATGACTTCTCTGCAGTAATTGGGATATGTTGGAGTTGTTTTGTTTTAGTATCATTTGCAAATAAACTGAGGGTTCTAGATGTTACATTTACCACAGAGCACTCATCTTTACAAGAAGAGCCAAGGGAAATCTTGGAGGGTAGTAGTAATAAGAATCATCATAATTTATTAAATTTATATGCCACCCAACTCACAGTGACTCTGGGACCAGTAGCACAAGTAGGACAGAACTAGTGACTAGTGTTTATTCCTGTGCACATGGAGTCCTAAATCCCAGTCAGGATCATTCTCCAAACCTTCCAAGTCCACAAGGGTGATTCATACTGCTCCCACCTTTCTGACTTTCTGCAAGACCTTTTGATTAGCTATTGGTTGTTTGGCTTTTGGTCTTTGGTCACCTTTTTTTTCTTCTTGATATATTTTGGGGTTTTTTTTTCCTGCAAGCCACCCAGAGTCACCATGGAGCCAAGCAGCCTTGAAATTGAAATAGTAAACACATAAATTAACAGGAGAAAGGCTTAGAAGCACAAATCTGCAAGGAAACACAGTTGAGAGTTACTTTGGCTTCCAACCAGCTGGTTTAGGATGGAGGACTAAATCTTAGCTCTTGTTTAGTTTGGAAGAAGCTTTTTCTTGTGGGGCAACAGGCTACCAAAGGAACCATAGGTTATTGAGACTGATGTTCCTTACATCACATCCTGATTCCTTTCTACTAGGTAGGTATACTATGATTTCCATAGCATTCAGGATTTGGGATGCAGAATCTTAGTCTCTAGTCCTCAAACCTGAAACAATTCACCTGAATGTGTGTGCACTTAACATGATCCTAGAAACATGGAGGGAGAACCAAGGAGATCCTGTTCTTTAGTACACTTCATTATTAGTCTAGTTTGCTGTATGTAATCATGATCTCTCAGATTAACCTATCTCACTGGATTGTTGTGAAGATTTTAAAAAACGGAGAGACATAATCTTATGCCTTGAAATTTTAAAAGAAAGGTGAGGTACAAATGTACATAACAACAGAATGTATATTGTGTAAATTAGTGGATTACTGACAAAATGCACTGTGAAATTAGAAGGGAACTGTTTGGATTTTTTAAATCCCAACTTATTTGGAATATTCAATTTCAAATAAAATAAGCCATTGTATATAGAACATGCATTCAAATTTATTAATAAAGTATCTTAATTCCTGCACAAAGCCCACAGGATACCCGGCAAGGAGCATCTGATAGTGCTAAATATGGAGATCTTTGCTGATAATATTGATGGGATGTGCTCCCTGTTGCTCAATACCCAGGTTCAAATTCTTTCTATGAACCCCTTGACGCCAAGGATTATGTGCAAAATTAAAATTAGGGATATAATTAACATCCTCCAGGCAAGGAAGAAGAAAGGTAGGGGGAACAGTTAAATTCATCCTTTGAAAGCTAGTTTTGGACTAGTCAGACTATCCTCAATCAGTACTTAACTGCACTTACAAGGAACTTTTATGCTTCATGTGCCAGCAAATGAGAATTGTTAGAGTAGGGAACAGTTTGATTGCACCCTAGGTGCCAGAGAAGAAAATGCCGCCTTGTCACATAAGCTGGGAGTGCCAAGCCAAGCTTGGTTAATCTCAGAACCTAAAACAGCTGGCACTTGGCTTGTACTTAGATAAGAGACCTCAAGGACATCCCAGGGCTGCAAGAAAGCAACCTCAAAGAAGGCAGTGACAAGTCACCTAGTTACCAGGAAGCAAGCTCAATTCAGGGAGGTTATCAAGAGTAATTGTTTGCGGGGTAAGTGTCATCATAACCATCTTAGAGCCATGATGGTTATGCCATCTAAAGGTGCCCTTACAGCACCTTTGCTCAACCTTGAGGCTGCAATTTCCAACATGAGTATTATTGGGTTGGAGGCTTGCTGGTAATTTACAGAGCTCAGCTGTGTAATCACTTGCAAAAAGTTGAAGGTGAATCTTTTTTCTTTACCTTCAGCAGGAGACTAGCATAAGCTTCCCTCAGCATTGAGTCCCTTATTACATCTAGGCATGTCACAGGCGCGCTGAATACCTGGCTTCATCCAACGCCTGAATGAGCTGAGTCACCCATTTGCTCCTTCTGCAAATAGAGCAGTCAGATTAGATGATAAAGTCTTGCTAATATTGCTTTTCACCCTGTACTCCTTAAAGGTCACAGCCCTACTCAGAGCCATTAGCTGGAGGAAAGAGGTATGACTGGTGAGCTGGGAATGAGGGAAGCCCTTTATGAGTAATAACTATCTCATAACTACTCTGATAAAAGCACAACGTATTTAGTAAATGGAGAAGCTTGCTAATCTGCTCCTCCCATGGCATTTTATGTTTTTAACAGGACATGACATTTTTTGACATATACGTGAAATTTTATTTATCTCACTACATTTTAACAACTTCACAAATATGAGAGCTGACTACAGCCCCGTTGCCCACTTACAAGGAAGGAACCAGTTTGACAGCAGGTTGGACATGTAAACATAATGTGTAAGTTCAATGCCTCACAACTCAGGTATCCAACATTAACGGTTATTACCACAGCATTTACCACATAGAGTTCAGATAAGTTCATCTAAAGGATTCATTTCTTTTTTAAATAACCATTTTCAGTCTACTGTGTTTTTTAAAAAATTCCTTTCCTTCCCTCCCTCTGCAATATAAACATATAATAAATAGATTTCTGATTTTTTTTTTTAAAGGACACTTAAACAAGTCAAGAGAAATTTACAGTACATTTAAGTCGAAGTGCAAAAAATAGCTAGTAACTACTTGCCAGTATTTGGTCCCATGTACAGATTCTGTTAGAGTCCCTTAAGGCTTATGTAAGGAGAATACCCTTAACATCTATCTTAAGGTATTCTATTTTCTGCATTCAAAATCAAGTGAATCTAAAATCTAATTCTATGAACTACACCAGCCCCTGGGGCATAAATGGCATCCGATTGGCTGCCAGAAGCCAAAACCATCTGGGCAAAACTGCGCATGAATGGGAATCCCCCAATGGAAGGCTGAACTCGACATATGCTTGAAGCCTAAGCACGACAAACTTGAATCTAACATTTTCCCTCAGCTATAATTACAAAGCATGTAAGGGAACTGGGTCCAATTAGGTGAAATGTAAAACGCCAACCTGAATCTGCCAATGTCTTGACAAACTAGCGTTAAGACAACATGATCAATATTCTCTCCATTTTTCTCCTCTTCCAACTGCTTTTATATTAACAATGTTTTCTTTTCCTAATCTACAATAATTAGGATTCATACCCTTTCCCAGTCCACAGGCACTTTAAATATATACTATAAAGTTTTATTCCCTTCCCCCTTAAATAAGCATATTCTATCATAAAATAAATTATATCGGCCCTGCTAAGAAAAATTCTCAAGCAGCAGCTGATATATATACCTGCTGCTGAACAGACTACAGACATCAGTTATGGGAAGTGCTGTCACTATCCCCACTCCAAAAAAGTAATAAAGCTAGCCATTTCTGATCTTTTGTTGTTGTTGTGTTGTTATACAAGTTGGGTAGGAACTTCAAGTCTCAGATCTGCCTGGAGGAAGGAGTGCTGCTCCCAATCACACACCAGAGAGGCAAAAAAGAAAATCCACATAGACTGTTTCTGTGGGAAAAGTCCCTGTTCAGTGATTAGGACAAATCCATCCCATATAAAACCATTAGTACCTTCCAACTGTATGATCACAGTCCAGGTCTTTAAGCCCAACACCACATATCCCAACCCATATCCTTGTTCTTGAAGGGCTATGGGCAACTACATTTTTCTGTTCTGGTTCTTTCTAAAATGCCCTTACTGGTGCTCTATGGCCTGGCCATAGCAGCATAAATGCAACTTGTCTGGTTAGAAAGGCTTCAACAGATGTTTTGTGTAGAACTTTACCAGCCAAAAGCTCTGCAACATCTCTGAAAAGTCTTTACAAAAGACAGAATTCTATGTGGCTCCTTCCTTCATTTCAATATTTAACTACTGTATTTTCTCTGAAGCTTCAGTAGGTTATGCAACTCTTCTAGGGAAGCCACTGCATCTCATAATAAACAAACACCAGCTGGGAAAAATTGCTGAATTCTTCTCTTCCCTTCCCCTAATATTGAATTAAAATGTTAACTGCATTAAGCAAGAGGAAATGGAACTGAATGGGGTTTTTTTGTTTGTGAAAATTAATTACAATCCAGAAAATTATCAAGACAATCAGATGTGTTTGTTTACAACACTTCCATTCAGGTGGAAAAAAAAACCTCAGATGAAATAGCGCGCTCCTTTGCTAGTTATTAATTCAGCCGCTTCTGCTTAGCCTTCTGAATTGTTCCTGCACCAGGCCTGTCAGGTTTTGTCACAGAAAAGGCATTAAATATTTTAAAAGCTTTGGCTGCATCAGATTACTATTGCCAAGAGGAAGGGAGTTGAGGTCTCAAACTCCCACGTCAGCCTTTTTCTGATTGCAACAGCAGCGTTCAGCGTTGTGAGCTGGATTCAACAAAGTCCTATTCATGCTCTGCCTCAGGAGACTGAGCTCTGCTCTCTGAATGAACTGGGCAGTCCAAACTGGGGTGGGTTTCAAGAGTAGCTGTAGGTACTGAAGGTTCTACCACTGTACCATCATGTCTTTGATCCAGAGGGCTATCTGGTGTGGAATCATGATTACTGGTGGCATTCTAGGAAACAGGGAGGAAAAACCACAAGTTAACAACTGGTTGTGTGGATTTGTTCAGAAAGTACACATAGTCTATCATTCCTGGTAAGCCATGGTAGCTTCCCTCTTAACAAGGATCACAAAATCATATTCACAGCACAGCGCACAAACATTCAAGCAAGAGCAAAAGCCATCATATGCAGGTAATACATCAATAAACTTACCTGTCCTATATTTTCCTAACTGCTCTTCCACAAGCAGCATGGAGAAAAAAGACTTAATGTATTTTAAGACAAAAGATAATAGTAATAAAAATGAAATTTTGCATAGGCAAGAAACAACATTCCTCATAGCTTAACACATTTCATGCTTCTCTTTATGGAGCTGCACATATTTTCCCTCGTATACTTTCTATGTAATAGTTTCTATTAGAATGTCAGCAGTGTGCTATTTTGGGAGAAGAACTATGAATATTTCAGCAGACAAAGAAGTAGGTTATCACAAAAGGTGGTAGGACAAGAAAAACATAGCTACATTTTGTAATAACTGAAAGAATGTATTGTAAAAAATTCTTCTCCAAGCTATGCAAATAAAAATGGTAAATAACTAGATTAACTTTATATCCTGTGTACAAACCAAGTAATATAAGAAAGCAAGCTTATCTGTTCAGATCTCTTTGCCAGATTGAGCATTTTAGCTGCAAAACAGTGAAGTTTTGCTTACCACAACCAAGCCAAGGCACAGGATGAGATACTACTTCTGTAGGTCTGAGATAGCAGTGAATTGACTGTGCAAAAATATTAATGTCAACAGCCTCTTTTTTCCTTGATGTTTTAAAGAGGTGCTGATTCTTCTTGGCACCCAGTGAGAATTAGAACTAGTTAAATGTTACCTAATTTTTTTTATGCAAAACCAAAGTTACCATATGATAATTCCAACAAGTAGAATAAATGTTTCTAAGCATATGATGAAAAAGAATTTTAAAAACTCCAGGGTCCAATTTCTAAAGAGCAGCCAAGTTAATAGGTCTCAAACTGTGTTCCATGGCACCCTAGTGTTTCATGAGAACTTAATGGGGTTCCATGAGAGACTAAGGGGGGAAAAGAGTTCACTTGAACACAGCTTTGCCTCTTAATCAGGGGTTCTAGGATTTTTTTTTAACTAACAGATTCTGCAGCTTGAGAAGGTTTGACTACACATATATTCCAAGTAAGATTACAACACTGTCATTCATCTGCTTAGATCAGGCACAGAGAACCTCTAGATTGCTAGCTGCTCCTTTTTTCCAACCATGCTCTGAATCCTTTCCCAATTCCGAAGTTAAACAACAAATGAACCCTAAAGCTTTTTTTTCCAGTTAAATGACTTAATACTGAATCAGTCCAATGCAAGGCACAGGGGCTTACCCACATCTAGCTGCATTTTGCACAAGCAAAACCTATGTTACAATTTTTTTACCTCTATTGTTTTAACAACACAAATATTTAATACTTGGAAGAGAAAGAATATCAGGTACTAATACTGTAGTTTTAGGGAATTAGTTCTGTTTTAGAATCTGAAAGCCTTTAGTATCAGGCATGTACAACTTTTTGCCTGGAAATACCTTTCACACACCGAAGCTCTGGTTACCTGCAAAGGCTGGTTCTCGAGTGCCTGATTGGTTTTGGAGAGCTGAACCATCTCTTTTATCTGATAAAGAGCATAGGCTAAGGTAACCCAGGGTGAAGAACTAACACCCCAAGCAGGCTTGTGTACATCTTCTTGCTCCTCTTGGTGCTTGGTCTTCTTGGCGGGAAGCCTAGGCACAGGGCGAGGCATGATATCTTCAGTCTGTTGTACAAGATCAATTGTGGCAATGGGCACTGGACTTGAAGGCACTGGGATCCTTTCAGCCAGCATGGTCTTCTCTAAAATTTCAAACAATAGACAAGATGTTCAAGAGAACTCACCATCAAAGAGTTAAGTGCAGACACTTTTTTGAATCCAGCATTCCGATCCTAGGCTCTCTCTGGCAATAATAGGAACTATTATTGCCAGAGATTTTGATAGCAAGCTCCATTCCCTCAATTATGAAGTTGACACTCACTGACTGCTAGCTACTGTGCTAGCACTGGAGAAAAATCCTTATGCCAGTAGCACCTCACACCCAATATATATAAAATAGAAGGGGCAAGGGGTCTTCTCTCAATCCACTGCAAGATTGCTTTTTTTTTTTTACAAGAGGAAAAGCCTATAAAACAATTATCAATAATGTTCAACTTCCAATCTTATTTTCAAAGAGAATAGCACAGAGATGGCAAAATGAAGCCAACCTTTTAAACACCTCCTACCCAGTAGATCACCTAGTTCTCCTAGATGCAGTTCAGAGGAATACATCAAAACAGCCCTTTTATTTCAGTTACCCGAGTTCCTACAAAACCAATTTTTAAAACAGACATGAATTATTATATAAAGAGTTACAACAAATTCAATTATAGTGCCAGACTCATATTTAGCAAACTTTTTAGCTTATATGTGAGTCATCCCACATTTCTCCCCATTCTGCATCCCTCCGTACAGCCAGAAAAACTCCAGAGACAAACTCCAGATGGATCTGTATAATGAAAATTACAGATTTATGGGGTGAGGTCATGGACAAATTGCATCACTAGCAGATACCATTTTGTTAATGAATAGATGACATTGGATTTTATCCTGTGTTTCTTGGGATCTTTTTCCCGAAGACATCAATGTTATAGGTCCACATGCATGTCCTTCCCTTACTTTTCAATAAATGTGTATTATATGTAGAACACAATTTAGATTTACTCTTGCATTACTCTGACAAAGTGAAAAAAACTTCCCATACACCCAATATATAGGCATGTAACAGGACTGCAAAACTACAGACGCCCACTAGATGGCAACTAAGAATTAAAGTGTTCTGTATAGGCTTGCTGCCATTAGAGGCTATTTGGATTGTCGGAGCTCAGATGTGGTAAACAACTGTAATGGTATGTGGGAAAGACCTTGGGTGACAGGGTGAAGAGATGTTGCCAAGAGAAAGGTCAGGTAAGAGACAGCATAGCCCGCAGCTAAATAGTGGGTGGGGCAAAAGGCTCAGAAGACACCCTCCCTAGTTTCTCAGGCTGTAAAGGAGATGGGGCAGGGGCAGAGGATTGTACTTTCAGACTTGCAAGATTCTGTCAATGTAGCTTTACAATAAAGTAGAATTAGCTCATCTGGTTGTGATTCCTATCTGATTTACCCTGCGAGGCCGACAACAACACAACATGAATTAAGAATGAATCCAATCCAAAGTCAAAAAAAGTCATCGCTCAGGCTAATTGATTAGAAATGCCAGATAAAAAAAAGCAAGAAAAGACTTCAAGAATAATGCAATATAAAAATCACCCAAAGGAGAAAAACTGGTTAGGTGAGGTTGAACACCTAGGAAATAAGCAGTTTACCTTCTTTCTCATCATGAACTGCCACCCACTGAATCAAAGCAAAAAGCAAGAGGATGACAAGAAAAGCCATTCCTATCCCTCTGAATGTTGACGCTGCTCCTGTGGGGGAAAAAGCACATAGAATAGAGTCTGATTCAGTTGCATGAGAGCAATTGACAAAGCTAGGGATGTGTTTACTAAAGTAAGATGAGAACCAGTTTTGTGTAGTGGCTAAGACACCAGGCTAGAAACCAGGAGACCATGAGTTCTAGTCCTGCCTTAGACACAAAGCCAGGGAGTGACCTTGTGCCAGTCACTCTCTCTCAGCCCTGGGAAGAAGACAAGGGAAACCACTTCTGAAAAACCTTGGCAAGAATACTGCAGGGACTTGTCCAGGCAGTCGCCAGGAGTCAAGACTGACTCAAAGGCACCAAAAAACAAAACAAAACAAAACAAAACAACCCACCCCATTTAAATGGAACTTTCTGTCCAGCAAAGTATACAGGATAGCATTCATGAGACATAGCCTCAAGAAAGCAGCTCCACCAGGAAATGACTCTCGGCACCATTTTGTTTATTCTAGACAGAAGATGGATTTGTGTCATGAAACTTGAGATCACAGAGACAGGTGGAGTTGCATTTTAGTTGAACAGGCAAAGAAAGGTGCCATTTTTTAAAAAAAAACAGAGGAAGCTATCTTCATTTAAGAACACTTTTCACTAATAATTGCTAAATAGCTATGGCCTTACAATACACTGAGCAAATGACTATAGGTAATTACTATAAGTTTTATTTATGCTAGAATAGGAGAGGCTTTTGAATAGTTATTGTTCTTTAAGGACTCATTAAAGGTCTCAGATTTCATTAGAAATGTGCACACTTCTCTATTCCTGCTTATAACTGGAACTAAAATGAAAAGTGTAAGGGGAATAAGATGTTCCCAGTAGAATTCTGTATTTAAAAATCACTTTAATACTAAATGTTTGGTACTCATTGGGTATTATGCCTAGAATATTTTCCCATTTCCTTCTAACGAGACCACATAGGATCTAATGCAGACTCAGAAGAAAAGAGACTATAGTTTTGCTTCGTGATTTCTGAATCTGCAAGCTTTCAAAATTATGAATAATTCAGAATTGGGTAGAAGGTAGAGTTGGGTGATTTATAGTAAAGCAGCAAAGGTATCTGACTCTTCTAGTGCTGCTTAAAAGTTTGTGAACTTTTTTGAATTTTCAATATTTTTGCATAAATATGACCTAAACATGATCTGTTCTCCACCCAAGTCCTACAACTAAATAAAGAGAACCCAAAGGGAGCTTTGGGCTTTGGAAAGGCATTTCTAGCCACATGGATAAACTCTAGGTACAGTATTGGGCTAGAGGTAGAGCACTGGCATGATTCTACAAGGCCCTTTTTGCACTCATTCATAAATTCTATGGGTTTTTTTTTAATTTTGATTTTTTTTAAGAGTAAACTCACTGGACGGGATATATATTTGAGCAGTATCATGAGTGTGATGGGAGTTACAGCCCAAGACAACTAGAAACCATCTGGTTGAGGAAAGCCAAATCAGGAGGAGTCTGGAAGCACTTCTGATTTTTGGCTGCTATATGCTAACACAGTTCTTTAATGTCCACAATGGTTGAGGAAAAGGCTCTTAAAGCAATATTCCGAACAGTTGAAAGTTGTATAAATGGGTATGTTTTCCTTACCAAAATAATTGACCAACACGCCACCAATCATTGCTCCACATCCTCTGCCCAGGCCAAGGTGAAGACCCTGCAAGATCCCTTGTGCTGACGTTCTCAGTTCTGGAGGCACAGCAGCACTTAGATAGGAAATGCAAGCTGCCCAGATGGCTGCGTGAGTCACACCTACAAAGAACAGACACATGAGACCATGTATTCCAAAGATGATCTTTCTGCAGGAATGTTGGAGTTAAACAACAAATACTGTTCATGGCAAGAGTGTGTAGCCATTTTAGGGTGCAGATGCATTTTGAGCTGTGTATCCTCTTCAAGAGCTATAAAAGTGAATGAGGCTGGTGGTAAAGAGTGCCAAAACACATAAATACATATAGCACCTGTCACTTCCTTCATCAGGGTCATACCTAGGAATAGTAGGGAAACTGGGAAGAGTTTCCTTCATTTTCCCAGCAAACTTCCAATCATAGCCAAAGAAACAGTAGATCTTCCAGAACCCAGCTAATAACTCACCAGCTGAACAACAGGGAAAGTAAGCAAAGTAGGGGTGAGAAAGCAATAGTGAGCCTCATGTGGTCCATGAGTTGCCCCCATGTGAACAGTGGGGGCATGAAATATAGACAAAAGACTGTATGTTTTATCAGTATGCTACAAGACTAAGAACCTGGGCTGTACCTTTTGCCTTTGAACTACAGATGCACAAACTCAGCAAGATAAACCTTTACTTCCAGAATCTAAAAACCCCCCATGAAAACAAATTTGGCTGGTCAATCAATTTGCCTGGAATGACTCACATTTAAATAAAATAAAGCTTCTGTACTTTTGTTAGAGTATTGAATATATATATTTTTTAGTATGATGTATCTTGTAACTAATCTAGACATTTTCTTCTTTTGTAAAAACAAAACAAATTATTTCTTACATTAGAAGACAGCAAAAACAAATACATTTCAAAAAGTAACAAGCTCAAATGCCAATAGTATTGCTGAAAATCTGGTGTTACTGCAGTCTTTATTACGTATGATGCATACAGCTAGAAAGGAAACCACAGTCATTTTAAATGTAAACTATCCACTAACTTTGGACAAGAGGATTCTTCAAAGAATTCCTAATGTTACTAATAAAATAATACCGTATAGCTATTCCATCTTTCACTCCTTAGCATACACACATTTGGGCTATGCATTCTTCAAAGATTTTTGGAAAAGTCTCTTTAGAATGCTTGTGAGTGCAAATGTAGCCCCTTTTTAAAGCAACTGTGTCTTTTTTCAGCTTCTGTGTGACCCTGACAAATAAAAGTGGCTGCTTTAAGGAGGCAACTCTTTAAAGCAACCATATTTTTATAATGACTCCTTAAAGCATATTGAAACCTGAAAAATAGAGGTTTCTTTAAAAATGTGCTATTCCTTATCAGATTTGAAGCATCACTTTCTGAATCATCTCTGAAGCATGCCCAGCCCTAGAAAACATCATCTTCTGGAAAAGCCTTTATAAAATTCCATTATACGAGAAGGATTGACTAAATGATAAAAATTTCATCTGAAAGCACTCCAAGTTTCACATTCATCTTTAGATCAGGATGAAGGGAACTATACTGCAAGCACCAGGCTAAAATCCAGGAGACTGTGAATTCTAGTCCTACCTCAGGCATGAAAGCCAGCTGGGTGACTTTGGGCCAGTCACTCTCTCTCAGCCCAACTCACCTCACAGGGTTCTTGTTGTGAGCAAAATAGTATTATTCAGAGTATTAGGTATGTTCGCTGCCTTGAGATACCAGTTAAAATTGTACACTCTTGAATCCTCAGATAAAGCTTTAGCTGATTCATCTACTGTACTATTAAAGCTTGTCATCCAGTCTGAAACCATATTTTAAGAGTATCATTATAACTATATATTGTATGAATTTAAACCTTACCCATCAGTTTTAATGGTTGTATATCACTTTGTATGTCATTTTAATTAGAATGTATTATGATTTTGCATCTATAAAATGCAAACAAAAGACCAAAGAAGTGCAAAAAATACTTGAAATATGCTTTTTAATAGAATTCTAACCTTTTCATTACGTATTATACAAGTAATCTCAGAAATGCATCTGGGCTATTGCTTTAAAACAAACATTAACAAAAACATGATTCACTGAATGAAACTTGTTCTTACTAATCATGCCTTTATATTTCGTCTTGCATAGATTTGGCAGTTTCAGACACCATCTTCCCCACCCTAAAATCTGGCAGAGGCTCAAGATAAATTATTGCTACATCCCCTGGTTGATACAGTCCAATTATTGGACTTCAGCTGCCATTTCTAATGCAGAATTATCATTATTAATAACCTCAAGGTTGATGATGGAGGTTAGGTGAGATCAAGAGAAGATGAGCCCACTGAACAATTAGTTGCTTTGGCTAAACAGATTAAACAGTAAATTCCCACATTTCTAGCTGGGAGAAGTGGAACAAGAGGAATATGTGATTTTTTACATGAAAACCACCTGCAGAGAATAGACTACAAAGTTATAAAACTTCAGGGGTATTCACAAATCACAGGGATCGCATAATCTGAATTTTGGGTGTATTAAATTTTATAGTCTTATGATCTCTGGGAAACAGAATTAACCTGGAAATAAAGGGAGGAAATTATGAAAAGAAACTGCTGGGTCTTAGACAGCAAATAAACTCATTCCACAAATATAAGAAAAGCAAAGTCCCACTGATTTGGAAAGTAGCTGAAATATGTGCTACATGAATATAAAAATAAGCAGCAACTAGCCACTTAAGTAGTTACTATTTAAGAGTTGAGGAACAATATTGGAGCCATATGCTTATTCTCAAAACTTTCATACGTTCCATTTAAAAGAATGTGTGCCAACCCTAGAAGATTATTACATCAAATTCATTCAGATTGTAATTCCTATTCTTATGTTTCTATTATTAAAGTAACAGCACTAACTGAAGGCTCTCAATGCTAATTAACAAGGAGAAACTTAGACTTTGATGCTTTAATATTACATAACAGAGTATGAGTTTCGCTCTGATAAATTTTACACTGATGCTGTAGTATTACACATTCAAGATAGTGTTACATCATTTAGAACAGGGAGGGCTACTTACAGCCATCACCCCTTTTTGTTGCCCCCAGAGTCCCCCATAACTGCATTGCCAAATTCTAATTTTCCACCATTTCAGGCAAGAAAATCTTAGAAATAGGAGTTCAACTCTAAAATGGGATTTTCACTGTTCAACAAAGAACTCACAAAAAGAACAATATGTTCTACCTGGGGCTGCCCTTGAAGATCACTCAGAACATACAGCTGGTCCAGAATGTGGCAGCATGGGTAGTGATGGGTTACACTGGTTGCCAGTTGACCTCTGGGTGCAATTCAAGGTGCTGGTTGTTACCTTCATGGCTTTAGGCCTGGTTATCTGCAGGACCCCCATCTCCAATAGTTTCTACCCACCCAGTGGGCAGAGTGGGTACATTTCAGATCCCTTCAATGAAAAAATATCATCTAATGGGACCTGGAAGGCCTGCTTTCTCTGTCACAGCGTCTGCCCTCTCGAACAGCATCCCCACAGAGATCTATAAGGTTCTCACCCTAATGTTCCAAAAATCTTTGAATCTTTGAAAAGTTAGCTTTGCTCCTAGAGCTGTGGGTAAGGTGTTGTCCAATCTTTCAGTTTTTATTTGGTGTGTTGTATGTGTTTCTTCCAGACATGCATGATAATTTTTCTTTTATAGTTCTTTATTTTTAAAGTATAAGCCAGCCAGGGCCATTTGGAGTCAGGGCAGCTTCTAAATTTAATTTAATTTAATATAATATAACATAATAATAAAATAAAATAAAAAAATAAAAATAAAAATAAAAATAAAAATAAAAAAATAATGGTGTTTGGTCTTTTCCTGAGCTTTTTCCTGCCTTGTCATCTCTTCCATAAGTACTTCTACCAACATATAATTAAAACATTCACTGAAGTACACTTTATGCCCAACTCTTGAGAATTAATCTAGATAAATAAAGGTTTGCTTATTTGATTTTAGGCCCACATCTACTCAGCCAAAAATCTATTTCTATTTTAAAATGAATGTTAACCGATTATGGTGCTATTCACATCTTACTGAAATCAGAGGGAAAGCTATTAACAAAATTTGTGCTGAAAGCTGATATTACAATGAATACTGTATAAGTTTTAGCCTTTAAGGTAACCCAAGATTTGCTGTAGCTGATAGATTGTAAGTCTACTTCTCTAATTTTGTTATATAAAATATATATATTCACAGTTCTGGTTCTAGATTCCAGGCAAGATGGCTGGATAGCTGGGGAGGCAGAGAAGAACAAAATGAAAGGGAGAAGCAATAAGAAGTGATACAACATGAAGAAAGCAGATCTGCAGGAATTGAAAGAGCAGTACTTCTCAAAGAAATACATACTTTTTTGCATACTCATACTCAACAACTATTTTAGGAAACACCATCATCCAGAAGATAATTATCTTTGTGGGTATCTTCTCCATTCATTTAGCCCTGACTTCAGTGTTTGCTATATTCCCCCACTCCTCACCCAGCTAAGGATGTATATGTATACCTCTCTTAGGTAATATTCTTTGCAGCAACTGAAGTGGAGTGCAGTCCATAAACCTGTACTGTACTATACATCTTTATCTTTTTGTAGCAACACACTAACAGAGCTACATCTTCAGAAAGCATTAAATGTATTCTAGGCCCCAAAACAACAGAAGCCCAAGAAATTCAAAGTCAACAACAGAAGCCCAAGGAATTCAAAGTCAACAAAGACTAACAGTTTTAATGAATTCTGTTAACATACATGCAAAAGCCTCTCTCAGCTATACCACTTGCTAATACTACAAATATTAAATAGTACTACAAATAGTATTATGAATATTGGAGAACCAGTTTGGTGTAATGGTTAAGGTGCTGGACAAGAAGCTGAGACTTGAGTTCTAGTCTTCTGTTAGCCACAAAAAGTCACTTTCACTCTCAGCCCAAACCACCTCATAGCATTGCTGTTGTGGGGAAATAAGAGGTGGGAGCATTATGTATGCTGCCTTGAGTTGTACAAATAAAGCCAGGATATAAATCTGATTATAAATAAATAAAAATATTCTATTCAGGCTGAAAAGAATGTTATCCTAAGTCAGGGAAGAAATTAAATGTAGTTTAAGTTTCATGGGTGAAAATGCCTTATGATCTTAAAAGCACTAGTATTCTAACCTCCTATTATATAGGCCGATCTGCCATTCTGTCTTTCTTTTGCAGGCCTAAATTTGCCTCAGCTTGCAACAATTCCCTCTTGGATGTGGAGGTTTCTAGTTCCACTGCCTCCCTTCTCATCAGATGGCATTAATCCACAGGCTGCAGGACACATCTCATCAAGTCTTGCCTAGGTCTCAGAATCTCCACCTCTGCCCTCCCCCAAACCCAATACCAGCTATTTGGTCTTTAACTTTCACCTCAATCACAGAAAGTGACTGATATTAACAAACACAGAACAAAACTGGTTCTGCCTGAATGTGTAGTTAGTTTTAAAAAAACACTTCCCTTTCAATTACCTATAATAGGATATTAATAGGTTTAAGAGATTAATGCCTTGTAGGTACAACCCTGCTAGCAACTAAGCCTTATCTGTTGCAAGTTTCATCAGAAGTCTCTTGTTGAGTTAAAGGGTGTGTGTCTCACCATGTTGTTTGCTTAAATCACATGGTAGAATATTATGTCAACAGTAGAAACCACTTCCTGTCATTTACTTCTTTTTTCCACCTGCCATAATAAAATTGTATAAAAAGAAAAGGATTCCTTTGGATTAGTTTCTGACAAAAGCTGAAGTCAGGGAAGACTTGTGTTTAACTATGGCTCAGCAGGTAATACAAGTAGGAATCTGGATCGTACAGTTCACAGTAGCACCCTGTTTTCTTACCCTGAAGGACTTCCATAGGCAGAACAGTCCAAGCATTTTCTAGATAGGAGATGTAAATATAACGAGCTGTATTGCAGGCAAGACCGATATACAGCACTCTGCAAATAAATGAGAAGAGAGATCGCTGATTACTTTAACATTTGACATGCTTTGATAAACTTACCAACAAACTATCTATTTTTCTTTCAACCTGACCTACTCCAGTTTCACAAAGATGAAGATTTTAGAAATAGCCAGGACTGGGCACCAGGTTGTTCACAAACCCTCTCCAGATGGAGAGGGAAAATGCACAGTGATAGTGGTAGGCAAAATGATCAAATTTGAAACATTTTGCTCATCTCTACTCAACAGATAGAGCCATTTTGGTGTCGTGGTTAAGGGATCAGGCTAGAAACCGGGAGACTGTGAGCTGTACTCCGGCCTTAGACACAAAGCCAGCTGGGTGACCTTGGGCCAGTCTCTCTCTCTCAGCCCTAGGAAGAAAAAGGCAAGGGTGAAACACTTCTGAAATCTTGCCAGGAAAACTGCAGGGACTTGTCCAGGCAGTCGCCAGGAGTCAAAAACTGACTCAAAGGCACGTGCGTGCACATGCACACACACACACACACACACACACACTCAGCAGATACAGAAGAGTTGTTTGTTGATGGGGAAAATGGAGAAGTAGGGTGGTGTAGCAAGGAATGACACAGTGAAAAATGACACTTTGCAGCATTTCCTTGCAGAATTCCATCTATCTATTCAATCCATTTTCAGTGAAGGTGTTATACACAATAGCAGTTGCCTGTTTCTTTTACAGCATTTTATCACATCTTCCTTGATTGTATATTAGTATGTTATTTGATACATTTATTTATAAGCTGATTGCTTTAAATATTTATTGGTACTGAAGTTTTAAGATAGCTTTCCTATTGTCCATTCTGAGTTCTGTTGCAGAGAAACCAATGGGATTTAAAAAAAAAAAAAGAATAAATATAAATTGTATGCTATACAGTATTTACTGAATCTCAAGTATCAGGTACAAACACAATGGGAAGAATATTCAACAAATTACCAAAAATGTTTTCTGGCTTATACCCAATGTAAAACTATATGAAGTAAATAATAAAAACATGTATAAATGTAACTGGCAAAAAAGAGGATATTTATTGTAAATATGTCTTGCCTTTATCAGAATAGTCTGTCTTTTGAGGTTAAGCATTCTAAACACATGATATTGGAAACAAATACATTTCAACATTAACAGAGCCCATATGGATTCACTGATATTTAATGTCTTCTTGAATGTCTGAATTCTGAAATATGCTCATAATTGTAAATATTTATTTTGCCAAAACTGCATATGCCTTTAATTTACACTTCATTAGGTAACAACACTTCCTTCAAACCAATTGCTCTTCATTAGGACTGTGCAACATTTGCTTTATTTGGAAACAAAACATTCTAGAGAAGTTTGAAATGTATTATTTCTCTGGTTCATGCTGAATCTCCTTTGGACTAGCCTGTACCATGAGCAGTTTGACCATTTCAGGAAGTAAATTCTGCAAAGTGGTTGTTTGGGGCAGGATTGACCTTTCTTTACAGTCTCCTTCAGTATGTTGAGACTGACAGATAAGATTGAATATGATATATTCAAGAAACCTACAAATCACTATGCATACCTACATTCTTCTGGTTTCCACCCAGAGCACACCACCAGATCTATTGGCTATAGCCAGGCTCTATGCTACAACTGCATTTGTTTTGACCCATTTGACAGAGATGCTCAGTTGATGGAATTAAACCACACATTTAGGAGACTATCCACCCAACGAGATCAACAGACAAATCAAAAGAGAAAAATCAATTCCCAGGAAGCACCTAATAAAAGACAGACCACAAAGACAATAGAATACCACTAGTGTCACCTTCAGCTAGTATTCACTTTCAGCTCACAGCTCAAACCATGCAAACACATAATTAATTATCTACAATCCATTGCACTTTATCAAGCACTGAGCGGCAAACCCATACTTGCAAACAAATAACCACCCAACCTGAAGCAGATTCTCACAAGCAACAAGAAACAACAATGATGCTAATGTGAGAACCAGACCCTGCAACAAACCCAGATGTTTACTTTGCCCCTGCATTTACATCAACAGCATAATCACAAGTCCCAACAACTTCACACATAAGATTAGAGATACTTTCACATGCTCTTCCTCCAATGTGATATATCATCCTCTGGCAGCAATGCTCCTCGGGCTCTACATTGGACAATTAGGTCAGGTTAACGGACCCAAGTCTGACATTAGGACTCAAAACAAGGACAAAGTAATATCAGGGCATTTTAACCTCCCAAGACACTCCATTATAGATCTCAAAGTAGCTGTTCTGGAACAAAAAAAAAAATCACCAGCACAATAAAGTGAGAAACTGCTAAAGTCACATACAAATCAAAAGGTTTCAGACCATCTCGAAAGGTCTCAGCAAACATAATGAGTTTTTAATACAACTGTTAACTGATGCTTGTAATCTGTCTCATTGGTAACCTGCACCTGCATAACCATCTTGTCTTTCTCCCCTTTTTCCCCTCCATCTCATGCCAGTTTAGATCCTACATCAGTTTAACCACTCCATGCATCTGAAAAGTGGGCTGCAGCCCATGAAAGCTTATGCCTTTTAATAAAATCTGTTAGACTCAAAAGGTGCTACCAGATTCCTTCTGATTTTTGACTCCATACACTAACATAGCTCTCTTCCTACAATGATCAACAACTAGTTTTGAAGAAAAATAGAAAGGATTAACTTAAAAAAAAAGTAAAGGATTTTGATAAAGCAGGTGGAGGATCATCTTAAGGATGAAAGTACTACCACTGTGACAGTCAGAAATAAATTAAATGGGTTCAGCAGGAGCTGTGTAGTATATAACATGTGTAAGAAGTAAAAATCCCATAAAACAATGGGACTGAGTTTGGAATATAACACGTGTGAATCACAGAACCACAATGAAGAACTCTGTGATTAAACTAATAAACTTAAAACAGTTAAAAAAGGATTATGTTGTCTAATGTGCCATAGTTCCATTACTGTGAGAAAGAGAAACAATTCTTCACTCTTCTCACACTACAACACCATTCCAAATTCTTCTAATGTTCTATTCCGTCATACTCCTGGGTTGCTCAGCCACAAAAATCCAGAAAAAAGCCTTCCAAATAAGTCATTCATGCACAAGAAAGAGAATTAAGCCTATTATTACTATTATTTATCATTTTCCCTGGAGTAGCTCCAAGAGTGTCCAGGTGGGGGTAAAAAAAATCATGACCATGTGATCAAAATGCCACCCTTTTTATGTGTGTCACATATGGACATTGATTATATTAGTGTTTATGGTTCCTCAACACAAGAATATTTGCTTTCATTTATTTTTACCCTGCCTTAATCCTAAAAGACCGTAGGCAATGCACAAAGAGCAATAGCTAACAGCTGCAATAAATACAAAGAACATAATAATATCAACATCTTATTACATTTATAAGATTATAAATTAATCATAACTTATATTAAACAATTATACATCCAAACATCTGGTTCTATCATTCCCACTATCAGGACTAAAAGACCATCTAGAACAGCCAATTTTTCACTAGCTTCTGGAAGGCCATAGGAGTGGAAGCCATACTTGGCTTCTTCCAATTTCCACTTGGTTCTCATCCAATCTGGGGAACCTGGAGGCAGGGGGCACCCTCCTCTACCATCAAGGAGGGCCCTTTTCACCAGCTCCCTGCCTCTCATTCAAGGCACCAGAGGCCTTCTCCTCTTCCTCTTCTGCAGCTTCTTCTCACTGCTTCCCATCAATTCATAATTCCATATAATTCTCCCTGGTTAATTCCACATAACTCACAACTTAGCAACCACATTCAATTTGGTATAACACTAGGCTTTTCTACCTTGCTTTGCCATATACAGTTCACTTTGATCTTTTATCCTCTCATTCTCCTCTAATATTTGTTTTCAAGGCTTTTTTTTTTTTAAATTCTACCTCCTCCTCCTCCTTCTGACTATATTATTGCTAAAAGGAGGTGGAGGAGCTCAATTATAGCATCAAAGACATGGCCA